ATCCCATCTGCCAGTGCAGGAGACACAGGTTCGATCCCTGATCTGGGAAGATCCCTAAATTGCTGTGGAGCAATTAAGCCTGTGTGCCACACCTTCTGAGCCTGTCCCCTGGAGCTTGGAAGCCGTAACTACCGAAGCCCTCGAGCCCTAGAGCCCATGCTCTGCAACAAGAGAAGCCACTGCAGTGAGAAGCCTGCACGCTGTAACCGGAGAGTAGCCCCCACTTGCCACAACTGGAGAAAAGCCCATACTGCCACAAAGATTCAGCATGGCCAAAAAATACATAAATAAAAATGGTTTTTTAAAAAAGATACACTTTAAAGGAGTTTTCCAGTTTTCAGTGAGGACTTTTGATTGACGTTCCAGGGAGATTGGCTTTTCTGCTGCTGGCTTCTCTGGCCTCTGGACTGAAATGGACAATGGAGCTTAACTCACACACAGATCCCTTCCAGATGCTGCCCTCCAAGCAGAGGCTGGAGGTTGAAGCAGCTCTGCTTTGCTGACGAAGGTGTGGGGAGCCCATGCCTTAAGTGGGAGCCATGAGCCAGGAAACAGGAAGTAATCTAGAAAGTACAGTGCTCCCTGCTCCCCGGGAGCAGTTTGGGGTGTTTACAGGCGTGACCCGGTGGGTCTGCAGAACCTGTCCCCTGTGCTGTGTCACCGTGCAGACGTTGCACGGTGTGGCCTTCTGGAGGATCTTCCCCCCCGCAACCCGGACTTTCCAGGTCTTCTTACCAACCAGACTGCGTCCAGCAGCAGGTGTGGAGCAGTGGGGTGTTGGGGGGCAGGCACACCGAGACCCACTCCCCTAAGGACTGCGTGGCTTGTCTTCAGTCTCGCCAGCTGAGCTCTCCTGGGGACCTTTGGCAGCAGAGACAGAGACGAGAGTCCAGAGGAACACGGGGACCACATTCACGTCTTCCCACGGGGGTGGTTTAGTCTTCTGAGGCAGCCGTCAGAAGTGAAAGTGGTAGTCACCCAGTTGTGTCCGACTCTTTGTGACCCCATGGACTGGGGCCCGCCAGGCTCCTCCGTCCATGATATTTCCCAGGCAAGGATACTGGGGTGGATTGCCATTCTTTCTCCAAGGGATCTCCCCACCCAGGGATCGAAGCTGAGTCTACCAGACTGCGGCCGTAACCAAATCCCAAAACTGAGCGGCAGTGAAATAACAGAAATGTCTTGTCTCACAGTCCTGGAGGCCAGAAGTCCCACATCAAGACGTCGGCAGGGCCTGGTTTCCTCTGGAGCTTCTGGGGTCAGAGCCTTCCCGCCTCCTGCAGGTCTTGGTGGCTGCTGGCACCCCTGGCCTGTGGCCTCCTGCTCCGTTCTCTGCTTCGTCTCCCTGTGTGTCTGTGTCTTCTCCTTGCTGTCTCCTGCAGGGACACGTTATTAAATTTACTGCCCTCCCTAATCCCGAAGGCTAACATCCTTAAGATCCTTAATTACATCTACAAAGACCCTTTCCCCAGGTACGGTCACATTCACAGGTTCTCGAATTTAGAACGTAGAACATGTCTTTTGAGGGGATGCTATTCAACCCGTGACAGGCGTTGAAATGAAGTGAAAGTCCCACTCAGTCGTGTCTGACTCTTCGCAACACTTTGGACTGTAGTCCACCAGGCTCCTCTGTCCATGGAATTCTCCAGGCCAGAATACGGGAGTGGGTAGCTGTTCCCTTCTCCAGCGGATCTTCCCAACCCAGGAATTGAACTGGGTTCAATTGAACTGGGTCTCCTGTGTTGCAGGCAGATTCTTTACCAGCTGAGCTACCAGGGAAGCCAACAGGTGTCATTGGCATCCTTTTAGCTCTTAAAATTCAAAACAGAAATGGAACTTATGCTTGTGGCCAAAGTTTACTCTTCTTCCAGAGGCCAGCTCATTGACTTGGCTCTGCCTCCAGGAAAAAATCTGGAAGCAGGAGGAATTCTGGAGGAACCAGGAAGACTATTTATCTTTCTGGACAGTGCATTTGTGGAACCGAAAGTTCTGTTCCTACGTGGCCTTGGAAAACCGTGACCATTGGCTCTCACCTGGGCATGGGTCCCCTGATGTGGGAGACGCTGCAGCCCAGACGGAGGGGCAGCTGAAGGCTTAGGGGACATCTCCCCCGCAACCCCCACGAACCACCACAGTTAGCAGGGCTTTGCGTCCTAGCACTCACCTGGGATCCTATCAGACAGCTGATTCATTTCAACAGATTGGATGAGGAGCTCCATCAAACCAAATAATATTGTGACTAAGTAGGATTTCAGCTTATATCAATGTATTGATTATCAGCATGAGTCACAGAGCAGGGAAAAAAAATTTTTTAACATATACCTATGTTTGTTTGGTCTCTGTACCTAAGTTTAATCTTGGCAGAATCAGGAAGGGTCAGAGCTAATAAAATAGCTGTAAGTTCTGCCATCTGAATCCTCATCTAAAACAGTTAGGATAAATACTCCAATATTCATTGTATCTAACTTAAGGTGATTATGAGGAGATTTTAGGAATAGTGTAAGGAATAAGGGGAACCCTAAAGTATAAGATAAGAAAAAGGAAAAGTATACTGTCATAGTCCCAGGGGCTTTACAGATACTGCAAGGAATAGATTTCAAAGCCAAAGAGATTAATGAGCGTTTCAGTTGAAGAAAGAATGACATCTCAGGAAATCCACAGGGCCTTGGTTTGACCCTGTGGCCTTTCTTTTGGGGCCATGAGCAAATTGTAAACTGAGTTTCCCCTCTACACTGGCTCACACCCATCCCCATAAGTAGCCCTTGGAAGGGCCACTGCCCCATCCTGCCTCAGCAGGCCTGGAGAAATGAGAGTCAGAGCAGCTGGCTTGGGCCCCAGCATGCCCTCAAGCTGTGTTAGCCCTGGTTTCCTGGTGGTGTCCACCTGCCATGGGTGTAAGGGGATAAATGAGGCAGTGCATGCGAAAATGAACTGGAACTAGAAACCTTGTATTTTGTTGTTCAAATAGCAGCCATTGGGACTTCCCTGGAGGTCCAGTCGTTAAGACTCCACACTTCCCCTGCAGGGGGCATAGGCTCGATCCCTGGTTCGGGAACTAAGATTCCCTGCGCACAGCCCCAAAATAAAGACATAAAAAAGCGATCCTCAGAAAGAAGCGCTGGAAAGGCTCTCTTCTTACCTACTACCTTGGGCTACACTCTTTAGCGTGAGATCTTGTTCCTGCGCAGTGAGCCCGCTGAGGTGCAGACATTAAGCCCAGGAAGGAAAGAGTTGGTCTCTGTGCTGTTCCAGAGCTCGGCCTCAGCTTCTGGGCCAGACAGTGTTACTCGTTTGTTCCTGGCTTCATCCCTAAGGAGTGAGGGTACTCATAGACCTTGTATTTTTACATCCCACCCCCACACAGACTGTTTGCCTACGTGAAAAATAAATTTTCCTTCTGTTTTTAAAACTTAACACCCCCTGCTTGTTGGAAATTTAGAGAATCAGGAAGAGAAAATGAAAACTACCTGTAATTGTGTCAGTCTGATAAGTGCAAGCTGGTATGTATGGAGCCCTTCACGCACGTCTGCCGTGGTCCTAAATCTTCACATAGATGCTCTAACCCTCACAGCACCCGATGGGGTAGGAACTGTGACTATCTTCCTGTTATAACCGGGGTAACTCAGGGAGTTAGTAACTTGTCGTGGATTGTACAGTTAGCTGTGTGTGTGTACATGCACACACTTTTTCATAATTAGGATTATACTCGATGCAGTTCTGAGTCTTGTCTTTTCTTCATTTAACATTAGATCAGACATACTCCCCATCATTTGATAAATTCTTATGCATCATCATTTGGCTGCATCATTGGGTCTCCGTTGCAGTGCATGGGCTCAGTTGCCCCAGGACATGTGGGGTCTTAGTTCCCTGACCAGGGATTGAGCCCATAATCTGCTGCATTGGAAGGCAAATTGTTAACCAATGAACCACCAGGGAAGTTCCCTCAGTCATCATTTTAATGGCTGCTTGGTACTCCACAATTTATTTATCCTCCTCCCTATTATCAGAGAGTTACCTCTCCCTCGCTTTTCTCCTGAATTCTAAGCAGGACTACAAGGAATCTCTGGGCCCTTGAGTCTTTGCCACAAGGACCTCACCGATTCCCCTCCCCCCCCAACCCCCGCAGCCCGGCTCGCTGTGCCCCCAAAGGCCCTGAGGGGAACCAGTGTGATATAGGAGTCCCTGGAGGCTTGAGAAGTGGTTCTCTAGCAGTCCACAGTCTGCAGCCTTGCAGAGAAGATGGGTCCACAGGCCCAGTTTTCAGCAACTTTGTAGCCATGTAGAGGTCACTCCTACCTGAGCAACATGGGAAATTCATGGGCCGGGGGAGAACTAGGGTTACTAGGATCAATGTGCATGCTTGCTCAGTCGTGTCCCACTCTTTGCAACCCTGTGGACTGCAGCCCGACAGGCTCCTGTCTACGGGATCTCCCAGGCAGGAATACTGGGAAGAAGTATAAATGGCAGTAAGTAACAGATGGAGGACATGCTGTGCACACACACACATTCTGGGGAACAGCAAAGATCAGGAACCATTCAACAATTCGTTGAATGCAGTTAGTTTACTACTGTGTTTAAATGACTACATCGCTCCCCATTCCTTATACCTATTAAGAGTTCCAGGATTTTAGTGTAATTATGGCACCTTGGAAACTAAAAAGCAAAACCAGCTTTATCCCTCTGCTAGGTGCGTGTTGTTTAGGGACTAATGCTTCTCCCAGTGAAAGCAGGTAAATTAGAGTTCTTCACCCAGGAGGGGAGAGGCTGCTCCGTGGGCCCCATAAAATTGGAAGCAAAATCCCTGCGTGCGTGTATGTGCACGCACACACGCATGCATCTTCCTTCAGAGAAAGCTCACACCCTTTGTCAAGTTCTCAAAGGTGTCCTCGGCCCCAGAAAGGTCCAGAACCAGGGCTGTAGGTCATTCCACGGGGGGCAGCCTCTGCACAGGCGGGTCCGGCTAACCGTCCCTTGGGATTCCTGTCCCCTTGTGTTTGCAGTGCTGGTGAAGGGCCAGGTCACCACCAAGTACTACCGGCTGCTGTCCAAGCTGGGCGGCTGGGTGTGGGTGCAGAGCTCCGCCACCGTCGTGCACAACAGCCGGTCGTCCCGGCCGCACTGCATCGTGAGTGTCAATTATGTCCTCACGTAAGTCAGACATATTTGTTTCTCTCCTTGCTCTCTCCTTCCCCCGCCCCCCCATCCCGCATCCGATCGGTCCCTTAAGCACCGTGTCTCGCTCCCTGTCTCTTTCTGGAACTGTTCATTTGTCTCCTGTTCTGTTTCATTGGACAGTCTGGTTGTCTGGGAGGTTCTGAACGATTTCTGTGTCAGCATCGAGGGCAGCGGTGGGAACGCGGTCCTGCCCCGGGCACAGCGGCCCCGGGTGAGGGGCTGTGGGCGGCAGAGGGAGGAGCGGGCGATGCCCCCCTATTCTTGAACATGACAGAAAGGGGGTGCATGTCCCAGGCTGAGAACACAAACATATACTCTGTGGGCCCACTGACACTCAGGCCATCCTGCTCGCACCTCCCATTTTTTCCATGTCTGCCTATACAGCCGGTTGTAAATTATAATGAATATTTACTGCCTTTAAGTCCTCAGAAGTTAAGTTCAGTGGCAGTTAAGACCGTTAGAAGCCACAGGACACAAGTCTGCCTGGACTCAAATATGACTCTCTGCCCACCATGCTGTTAAGTGCTGTATCACTTCGTACCCAGCTCTGACCTTGAACTCCACATCCTTGCAGTTCCCCCTGACACACCCTGCACGGGTCCTGTCTCGTGGTTTGCAGCTCTGTTCTTTCGCAGAATGACTGTCAGGTTGCCTGGGGTTTGGGCGGGGGGAGTGTTGGGAGGTGAGTGTTTGGTTTTTTTGTTTGTTTTTTCGAGGTAGAGTGATTTTAGCAGAATTGTAAGGGAGAAAGCGTTTTGGTCCTGCAGTGATTCTTCCTGAGCCAATTTGCATGGGCTGGGGCTGGTACGTGGGGCAGCTCCCCTCCCACGAGTGTGCCGGAGCCCGGCTGGCTTTTCAGGGCAGGAATGGGCCCCAAGTGTGGAAGTGGACGAGGCTGGAAGCCAGGCTCCGTGACCCTCAAGGGACCCCACTCACCCTCCCTGGTGCCAAACAGGGAAGCAGCCGGGCCTCAGACACTCAGTTGATCACAAGCGGTTCCTGCCTCTTCCTTGTTGCCCAGACATCCTGTCTCGTGGCACATGGTGTCCCCAGGATACGTGCCTGGGGGCCCTGTTAGGTGGGAGAGCACTACCCCACGCTCCCTGACTTCCTGCCACAGAACACTGGGCTCACTCAGCATCTCCCGGGGTCTCCAAGTCCGAGGCTGCTGGTGGCTTTTACAACGGGGTAGGGGGGCCAGTCCTCAAAGCCTAGCGCATCCGCTTAGTGCAGTGACATGGAAGAGCTTCTCAGATGAACTCACCCCAGGAACGGGCCTGGGAGGGCGTCCCTCCTCGCGGCCCTTGGACATGACCTGTCCCGCTCTGGCTCCTCAGGGACATCGAGTACAAGGAACTGCAGTTGTCTCTGGACCAGGTGTCCACGTCCAAGTCCCAGGACTCCTGGAGGACCGCCTTGCCTACCTCACAAGAAACTAGGAAGTTAGCTAAGCCCAAAAACACGAAGATGAAGACGAAGCTGAGAGCAAACCCTTACCCCGCACAGGTAACACCCGCCGGGACTCGGGGCACCTGAAGGAAGGGCGAGCCTCCGGCTGCATTCAGGGGTCTCCCTGCTGGGGCGTTTCTCCGGGGAGGCAAAGTCCCTCTGGCCATCCTGCCCCCAGGGTAGAGACTCGGCCTGGGAGAGACAGGCCCAGCCGACCGCCAGGTGGGTGAGTCAGGTCTCAGAGACAGAAGACTCACTCCAGGAGGCTGATCAGAGCTCGTGTAGTCAGGGCTCAGGACTCTGGGGCCCCATGCTTCCAGAGCGTTTTTGTCTGGAGTGGAAACACTTCCGTCTTTTTTTTTTTAAAGTCTTTTGCAAGCTCTCTGAAGGTGCATGTGTCTTGTGTCGTCACTTGGGGGTGATGCGATCTCTTTCCACGCAGGGGAGGGTCCCCGGAGGGCTGTCAGCCGGCCACCTGTCCCCGGTGGGACCGCGCTGGTGGCCCTGGGACACGGGCGGGCACCGCGGGGTGAGGAGGCAGCTTGCCGCCCGCGCCCGCGCCCCCGCCCCCGCCCCCGGCGGGCCCTTCATCCGTCGTCTTTGCTCCGCAGCAATACGGCTCGTTCCAAATGGACAAACTGGAGTGCGGCCAGCCCGGAAGCTGGAGGGCCAGCCCCCCTGCCCATGGCCCGGCTCCCCCTGAACAGCAGCTCCATTCAGAAGGCGGCGACCTTCTGTACGCCCCGTCCTACGGCCTGCCCTTCTCCTACCACTACGGACCCTTCCCTCTGGACTCTCACGTCTTCAGCGGCAAGAAGCCCGTGCTGCCGGCCAAGTTCGGGCAGCCCCAGGGACCCCCGTGTGAGGTGGCACGCTTTCTGCTGAGCGCCCTGCCAGCCGGCGGCGAGTGCCAGTGGCATTACGCCAGCCCCCTAGTGCCGGGCAGCCCGTCTCCGGCTAAGAGCCTTTCCGAGCCACTGGTGAACCCTGCTCGGCACAGCCTGATGCCAGGCTACGAAGGTGGGTCCTGTTTACGCGAGGGGCGCGGGCAGGACGGTGGACGGTGGTGGCGGTGGGTGGCAGATGGAGAAAGGATGCCCAGGCTCTGGGCAAACACGCCGCTCCTTCTGCCTCTGAGCGGGAGTGACCATGCCTTCCCGCCCTCACTGCAGGCGCTTCCTGAGGCTGCGACCACACCCGTGTGCCTTGTGGGCACCAGGGATGGTGGAGACAGGCTGTTGGGCCCCCCTCCATAAAAGTCCCGGACCCCCTCTGCTCCCTAAAAGGGAGACAACGTGATTTTCCTATATGGCTTCCCAGGTGGTGCTAGTGGTAAAAAAAAAAAATCTGCCTGCCAAGGCAGGAGACACAAGAGATGCAGGTTCAATCCCTGGGTCGGGAAGATTCCCCTGGAGAAGGAAGTGGCAACCCACTCCGGTATTCTCGCCCAGGAAATCCCGTGGACAGAGGAGCCTGGCGGGGTATGGTCCGTGGGGCTGCAGAGAGTCGGCCATGACTGAGCAGCACAGCACATGGGTCCCGAGAACCCCCAGCTGTATTTATTTCATGATTACTTTCTACTCCACCCCAAAATGACCACGGGACACTGCTGGTTTTCTTCTCATGCCAGTTTTCAAAACATGGGAAGCAATGGTGGAAAATCACGGGCTCGGGGACAGAAATGCCGATGCCCACCCTAAGGCAAATGGCACAGGTCCTCCAGGACTGTTTCTTCATCTGTAAGATGGGAGCACAAGCTGCGTGGATCATACCTACCACAGGGCTTGGCAGGCAGACATGATTGGCCGTCCAGCGAACAGCCAGGCAGATGTCCTCTGCGGAGGCTGCCCCCAGGCCCAGACAGACCGCTGCTTCCTCCCCGGGACAGCCCCAGGCAGAGGGTAGGAGGAGGGGGTTGAGGGTTAGCTGCCCCCCACACCTAACCACTGGACGCTACAAGCCCCCGACGAGGGACCTGCCTGGCCTCCCCTTCTCTGCTTCGCTCTTGGAGGCAGGCTGGGCCCTGCGGCTCTTCCAGCTGCTGGGCAAACTTCCTGCTGTGTGCTGCACCCCAGTCTTCACAAGCCTTTGAAATACACAAGAGGGCTAGATCCGGGAGAAATCTGACATTCTCGGAGATTACCGGGACATGTTTTTCAGAAGTAGCTGTTCAGAAAGCAACATGCCAGCAACCAGGGCAGTTCAGGCCTGAGATGTGCATTCCCAGTACCCATCAGTGCCCTGGGCCCCCCAAATGACCACAGCGGGGATTTCCTTGGCACGGCCGGGGGAAGGAGAAAGCAAAGGGATTGTCCTAACAGCTGGAACTGTTACCCACTGGAGACGGGACTTGAAAGAATTACTTTTGTGTGGGGGGGGGTGGGGGGGGGCGTTGACCAATGAGATAACAAAGTATTTGATTTTTTTTTTTAATTACAATTTTGGAAGTGAAAGAGGTTAATAACCACTTCATTTGTCAGACACTTGGTAAAAACTGGACCAAAGGTGCTAATTGGGGCAATTTGTAATTGATTTCCTAGTCTTTTTGATATTAAAGGAAGACAAAGGATGTTTGAAGGTTTAAAAGAGGGGAGGGGAGCTAACTGATTCCAGACATCTAATTAGTGATGCTGGTTATGACATTAATTAGGGCAGTCCTAAAGGGAGCAGGGTGATTACCACTCCACCCTCCCCACTGAGGGAAAAGCAAAAAAAAAAAAAAAAAAAAAAACAGATCGTGGCAGCCTGGGGCCCCGTAAGAGCAGGGCCGGGGGAGGGAAGCCTCTAGGCCAACGCTGTCCAGCATGGTGGCCACCAGCCCAGGGTGGCCAGTGGTGAGAGGTGGTCCGAGCCTTTGCCCCGCATTTGGAAGGCAGAAGCGAAAACCGCCCTATCTGCTTTTTATACTGCTCACACACTGAACTAATCTTCCGGCTCTGTGGCATTAAATCAAGGCTCTTACTAACATGACGTCCACCTGTTTCTCTTCACTGCTTCCTGCGGCTCCTAGAGCAGGCCACTTGCATCTTGCGATTGGACTTGGCAGGCGCGGGCGGGTGGCGGCCCCGGGTCCCCCGGGGGGGTGTCGCTTGGGGCGGGCCCCCCTTCCCCCGGCGCGGGCGTCTAACGTGTCGCCTGTCCCCGCAGCGCCCGCCGCCGCGCGCAGGTTCGGCGAAGACACCGCGCCGCCGCCGCCCCCGAGCTTCCCGAGCTGCGGCCACTACCGCGAGGAGCCGGCGCCGGGCCCGGCCAAGGCCGCCCGGCAGGCAGCCCGGGACGGGGCGCGGCTGGCGCTGGGCCGCGCGCCCCCCGAGTGCTGCGCGCCGCCGGCCCCGGCGCCCCCGGGCGCGCCCGCGCAGCTGCCGCTGGTGCTGCTCAACTACCACCGCGTGCTGGCGCGGCGCGGGCCGCTGGGGGGCGCGGCGCCCGGCGCCCCCGGCCTGGCCGGCGGCCCCGGCGCCCCCGAGGCGGCGGGCGGCGCGCTGCGAGCCCGGGCCCCCGGCCCCGCCGCCGCCCCGCCGCCCGGCGCGCCGCGGCCGCACTACCTGGGCGCCTCGGTCATCATCACCAACGGCAGGTGACCCGCCCGGGCCGGCCGCCCGCGCGGAGAAGCCATAGGCCGGCCTCCTGGGCTCCCCGCCTCACCGAGTCCACGGGGCCGAGCTGTGTATGCACGGTTTAAATTAATTTATACAGAGACGACTATTTTACTAGAATTCCGCCGCCGACTTCTAGATTTTTTTTTTTTTAAACCGTAGATGCCATAAACTCCCGTGTAGGGGACAGAAGCGGCGACGTCGGGGACACCCTGATCGCCCGACCTTTTGTTCTCCGAGAGCTGGATTTTCTGAAAAGGCGAGCGCCCAGGGGTGGCCCCAACGACTCCGTCCTTGAGGGGGACTTGGTTTCCTCTCCTTGAAATCAGGCCTGCGCGCCCCCCGATGCTCAGTAACAGAAACGCTTTTTTGGAGGGGAGGGGGAGCAGTTATAACATCTCCAGATACCCTCCACTTTGCGGAGATCACCCCACACGAAGATGGTCAGATAGATGGGCCAGCCTGGGAAGCTTCCTGTGTTCATTGCCCATTTTAGGTTCTTAAGGCAGAATTGATGATTTAAGTTCCCTGAATGGACAACTCCACAGTATTCAAGTCATTCATAAGTCTCATAAAACGTTGTTGTTTTCATTTAACCCTTGAATACAAACATCGACAAGCCAAGATCAAGGGGGTGAATGTGGGTGTGCTTCTCAAGTACATTCACAAAGTTTTTATTCCCTCCTAACCCCGTGAACTCTTGAGAATAGCACCTTCAGAATATATTGAATAGGCATTAAATGCAAAATATATATATATATAGCCAGATATTTTATGAGTGACAGGTGGATGATTTCCGTGCCCAATGGATTGGCTACCCCTGTCAAGTATGATGACAAGCAAAGTCCCTCTGGCCCACACAGACCTGTAATTCCCTAGGCTCGTGTTTGCTACCAGTAGTGCTAATAAAGTTAGTTAAATTGCATGTGCAATATGGAAACTTGTCAATGGACTGCGCCTCGCGGAAGAAAACATGCTAAAGGGATGTAACAAAAATGATGTACACGTCTTCAGCATTTTCTGCATTTTCTACAGAGTAAGAAAACTCCATATGAACATGTCATGTGTAACAGGTAAACAGGAATCTTTTTATAAAGCACCAGCAGTGTTTTTAAAATAAACTCCTATTAATTTTTATTTTTATACTTTTGCTTCAAGATTTCACTTTTAAAATTCCCGTCATGGCTCCGAAGTGGATCAGTGCATTGAACCACACTTTTTCAATCTGCTCCTCACTATAAACACTCCCTCATTTTGCTGCTTTTTCAAAGATGGTTTACTTTTAGGAAACTGTGTCCACCTTTCAGAGTGGAAAGGTTGTTCCCCAGTGTCTTCAGCTCACTGTTCCTAGAATCAGAGTGCACCTACATGTACTGCTGTCAAAATGTGAGAGACCTGCCGCCCAGCCAGTGTCTCTCTGAGGACCTGTCTGCTTCCCTGGGGTGGTTCAGTTGCCTTATGGTACAGTTTGCAAATTTAGGAACATATGTTTTGCAGTGAAGAGGCGAGGTCAGAAGAATCCAGTGCGTACACCTCTACATTGCGCTTAGCCATACCTCATGAGCAGCTTGCTCTGAGTGTAGACACAAAATAAGCCTGGGGTACTGTTTTTATGCTGTCAAGACCCGTAATTAAACCCGTGATTCCTGGAAGGTGCAGGTTTGATGAGCAGGAGATTTCACTTGACATTTTTCAATAAAGTATCGTAAAATGCGTTTGTGTCTATCTTGTTATTAATCATTGGGGGCTGTATAAATAAATACAACTGTGAGGACTTCTGGAGCAAAAATTAAGACCAAATGTTACTGTCAGAAAAGAAAAGCGTTATAGATTTATAAACCTTAACATAAATAGGCTTAATGATGAGGGTATGTGTACTTGAAAAATAAAATGTGTACTAGGAAAAACTTCCTTGCCTAAACAAACACTGCAGTTTTCATAATCTAGAACATGAAGGAAGATTCCCATGCAAGCTGGCTTCCAGGCGGACAGCAACTCTGCAAAGTTAGCAGGGCAGTTACTACGGCAACCTGACATTGTTACCTCCATCTTTTAGTCTGCACATTTAAGCTTGGGGATGTTGTTTCTCGACTTCTGTGAGGCTCTGGAAGAGAAAGTGTGTAAATAAATATGCATGTCTTTCACAAAAAAAGAAAAATGTAGTGATTCCTAACATGTTGACAAAAAAATGCCAGATGAAATGGATTTCAAAAATAAGCCCAGTTCAAGACTGGTTTGGCCCTCCTTCCACCGGGCCTCCAAGGGAAAGGAATTCCTTTATGTTCTTGGAAGCCCTTTCTAGAAAAGCCATTCCATTCATACCTTTAGAGAAGTGAATAGGGTGTGAAGTGTTGCTCTGAGGAAATCTGCAAGAGCCTGTATTTTCTGCTCCCTCACCCCCACCCCTTTGATCATACTAAGTCCAATGGCCATGCCTTCCTCCCTTGGGTCCTAAGGATGGGAGAGGTTTACTCCATCAATGAATCCTGTATAAAGTCTACTGTAGTTTATGATGGCTCAGACGGTAAAGAATCTGCCTACAATGCAGGAGACCCGGGTTTGATCCCTGGGTCAGGAAGATTCCCTGCAGAAAGGAATGGCTACCCACTCCAGCATTCTTGCCTGGAGAATTCCATGGGCAGAGGAGCCTGGCAGGCTCATGGGGTCGCAAAGAGTTGGACACAACTGGGCGACTAACACTTTCAAGATGGTTAAGGTAGACTGTGGGGGGGGGGCTGCTACAGATAAAAGAAAAAGTTCAAATAAATTCCATAAAATTACTGTGGAAATTTTAGTGAATTGCAGCTCTTTGAGTTATCGAAGATGCATTATTCAAGCTATTCCTAAACTTAAGTATGATAAATAAGGTTGAAATCTTGGGGAAGAACTGTGGAGACAAAAGTCAAGTAGTTCTCACAAAAGAGGAAGAACAATTGAACAAGAACAGAACATGTTCTTATATTTGTTGTTAAAATTTTTAAACTAAAAAATTTACATTATTAAATGTATTTCTCACTTTAGTTAAATTTTTTTGAACTTTTGGGGTTTGCTGACTTTCATTCTTTGGAGTAATATGACTTCTCTTTTGTATGATACATAACACATTTTTCACAACTACATTTTTAAAAGAGCAACCAGCTTCTTAATACTTACACATACCTATTCCTTATGATGTAAAACTATTTATTTTTTAAAATGTTTAAATATGAATAAAAAATATTGTAACCGAAAGGAATTGCTTATTTTGACAAATGAAACATGGTAAAAATAAAAAATAAGCCCAAACTACAGAGAAAGTCTCAAAGTTTATTTTGGTAGACTTGCTTTTTATAGGCATCGGTTTAAAGTAATTACGTTTCAGAGATGAGTCTTTGAAAAACTAAAAATGCAGAGGTTTAATGCTTTATTTCAAATATGCATAGTAGTTAGGAATACCGCTTTCTCCATTCTTTGCCCATTAAGACCAAACAGATCTACAGAATGTAAGCCTAAAACATCTCCTTTATGCATTCTGAAACGGTCGGCTGCGGCTGGCTTCTCTCCTGGTTCCCAGATTCGAGGGTGAGGGATGCCCACGTAGTCTTCCCCGTGTGTGGAGGGGGTGGGGGTGGGGTAGGGTTGGGGGTGCGTGGTACCCCACATGTGGGCCTGTGGCCCCCCCCTCCTTGGATGACTTGCTCCCACATCAGGCAGTCACCATGCTGTAGCAGAGAGCCCCTGGGGGACACAAATCCTTCCGAGTGTGCCCTAGCACTGTACATGCTGCCAGGATGACCAGTGCCAAGGAATGCTGTGGGGGCAGGGGAGGGGGGCACGGGAAGCCCAGCTATTGCTGGGTCCTATTTTAGAGTTCCTCTGAAATTTGCTACCAGCCCCAAGGGGTTGACGTCCTTCCTGCCTTTCACGTAACCTGATAGATGCTCAATGCGCAACCTCTACACAAGGGCACAATTCAAATATCCCCAAAGCACATGCCAATCCTGAGTTTAGGTGCTGTGTTTTAAAGATTAAGAGGAAAACGCAAAGTTTCTCGTTAAGACTCTAAAGCTCCTTGAGATCCTAGATCGCTGGGTGCATAAACTGCACCCAAATTGATGAGTGAGGTGTAGCAAGTTTTCCTAATGCTAACAGCGGTAAGCAAAATGCCTTTATTCTGCTGTTCTATAGGAAGCAGAATTTCAAAAGTCTTTGGTTCATCTGAGGCAAAGTCAGGTTTATGCAAAACGCAGCATCTGCTCCAAGTCTATTTGCCTCCCTCAAGACAACTGGGTGTCGGCACAAGTAAGAAATAAGAACAGTCTTGAGAGCGCAGGGGCAAAGCGATACGCCCAGAGCATCTCCATCTGCTGTGACATGGCCACACTTCATTAGTTTTAATTTACCAAAAGGAAATTAAATGATAACATTATTTTTTCCCTAAAGCAGACTGTCTAGAGTAGGACTTCAGCTTAAAACAAATCATAGCATGTTTTTCATTAAATAACCCCCCAAAGAAATGCAAAAAGTTAACGATGGCAGCTCTGAGAGATGGCGTGCCTTATATTACAAAGCTTGAGAAGTCAAACTTGCAACATTAGCCTGAGAACTTTCTTCTTAATGATATTTTGCAGATGCCCTCTCCAGGGTGAGTCCATTTGGTAAATTTGGGGTGCTGTGGACTTCAAACTTTTATTTAGACTTGGGCATTTAGGAGAGAGTGTTTTGTTTTGTTAAGAAAAATAATTCTAGTTGAAGCCTTATTTGCAAAAAATGACTTCTGAAATCTTTTCAAGTTACATTTCCAAAACACACATATTGGGTAGTGTACTTGACTAAACATGTTATTTTTTTCCTTCTATGGGGTTGCCTGTGCCTGGCTAAAGGTAGACAGATTTTTATACTGAAAACCACAAACTTTCTGGAGTTAGCCTGACCGGGTAAAGCTGGAGAAAGACAGTGCTAGGGCACAATAAGGGGGTTCTGTTCAAAGCTGAGAGCCTCATCAGCTTTTCTTTCCACTAATTTCAGTTGGGATTGGCAGGAAGAGAGAAAAGCGGACAAAAAGTGGCCTCTTCAGGCTGAAAAGTAATGTGTATGAGTCTCAAGTTCAGTGGAGATAGGAGTTACATGGAAAAAAGCATGGAATACATCTGGAAATAGAAAATGCATATCAAAAGGCTTCCTTTCTTTTGTTCTTTCACGGAGACTCATAGGGCATCAGATTTTGAACATCTTTTAAGACCTCACACACACACACACACACACACACACACACACATGCTCTTAACTGATGGTATACAATAGCAATAACTCTATTTTGGCAATGTGAAAAGGGGGCAAAAAACTGTGACTCACAAATGAAATGCCTTGTACGTCTCTACTGTGTGCACTGCACAGTCCTACAGGAGTGCTCTCTATTTCAAAGCAAGCCCGAAGCTGGCTTAAAGCTCCAAATCCTCCTCTGCGTGTGGTACCAGAGCGAGACTTCACCTCCAGCTGTTGGAGCCAAATCGCCCACCCTCACGTCCAGGCAATTACCTAATCAATGCTTTACGGATCTTGAACTTGATCCCATCACGGCAGAATATTCAGTCAATTTAAACTTAGGAAAGCTCATTAATTAATGTCAAAGTAATTAGCTGACTCCTTCTACAAGGTCATCACAACCAAAGCAGCTAAGGGTGCCTCTGTAGCCATGTAGGCATTGCTATTGGACCACAAACCACCCGGCTGAGAATAAGGCTTAGAAATCTACCTTCTCTTTTCTCCACTAAATAAACAAACAAACAAAAAATGATGACTAAGTACCAGTGTATGTTCCTATAGGAAACATCTCCCCAGATTCTTGTAAACAGTGTTACCATACTCCTAACTCACTGATGACCAGGGCCTTAAAAAAAATTTTTTTTAATAGTCTAGGGATAAAGATCTTCACTGGGCTTCCCAGGTGGCTAGTGGTAAAGAACCCACCTGCCACTGCAGGAGATGCAATCCCTGGGCCGGGAAGATCCCCTGGAGGAGGGCACGGCAACCTACTCCCGTATCCTAGTCTGGAGAATCCCATGGACAGAGGAGCCTGGTGGGCTACAGTCCATGGGGTTGCAAAGAGTCAGACTTGACTGAGCATGCACAAAGATCTCCACTACTGGGAAAATGTGAATTATTCCATTGTTGTTTCCATGTAAAAACTTTTTTTTTTTTTGCCAATTAACACATCCAATTTGAAGAGGGGAGAACGAATCTCACATCTATGCCAGGTCTTTACCAGTGATTGACCCTCTACCCCGAACAAAATTTAAGAATGAACAGGTTAATTGGAGGGAGAAAAAAATCGTCAACAACTCTGGTTTAGCCTTCCGGCTCCACGGGCTGGTCCAGGCAGCAGAAATCCAAGGGGAAGCCTCCCGCCTCGCTTCTGCCTTTCAGCCTGTCTGTCTGTCCGTCCCCAGCAGGGACTACCGCTGTTTGGGGACAATGAGGTTTCTCAGCATGTCGAAGGAGTTCCCGTCAGGATGCACCGTCACCACGTCACCATTTTCCTGGTGGACCAGAAGAAACCCGGAGTCATCCAGGCCAACTATCCACACCTTTGGTCCCTCGGCACTTCCCAGGCGGACTTGCTGAGCGCTGAAAAGGAAGAACAGCCCTCGGTCACTGGGACGCCGTGAGAGGCAGCAGCGGCTTGAGACGATTAGTTAAGTAACCATCCATTATGGGAAAGGACTCGGGGCTGGGGGGGAGAGGAGGCTGGGCTGCGGGAAGTGAAAATGCATCTGGGTCTGAGCGCTGCCTTTCACTGGTCCCGCCTGAACGGTCTTGGTGAGTACCAGAATAACCAAATCCAACAGGAAGTTAGGAACTGCTTCTCTTGCAAACACGGTCACTCCTAATTCTGAATGTCTGGGAGGATGTTTTTGCGCCACTTCCTTCACCCTCTAGCACTTTAAAGAAACACTGCGACCCTCCAGGCTTTTTGGCTGAGATGAGATTGGCCTCTTTCTGGCTGTTCTGCAAAGAAGACTTATCAAGTTGGGGTGCATCGATTATAAGTTAAACGCATGCTAATTCTACTTGTTTTCAATATTTTTCCAAATGCATCTACTGAGTTATAGCCTTCTTAACAGTTTTAAAAGTATAGAATCTGCACCTCCCCATTTTTATCTTGAAGAATTTCAGACCTACAGAAAAGGGGGAACATAGTACAGCAAACCTCATATGCCCTCTCCACTTATACTAACTGATAACATTTTCCATATTTGCCGTTTTTCCTCTGTGTGTGTGCGCACACAGTTGAGGCGGGTGGCGGGGGTTCCTGATATTTAAATATAAATTGTAGGCATCATGACATTTTAAATATTTCAGCATGTATAAGAACGATCTTCTTCTTAAATCCAGAATATCATTATCACTCTCAAGAAATGTGATCTTGATACATTATTGAATATCTGTCCCTGTGCAGATGTCCCCATCATCCCATTAATGTCTTTTGTGGGTACTCCCTCCCTTCCAGGATCTGATTATGAATCTCGTATTGCATTCAGCTGTCATGCCTTGTGAGTCTTCTTTAATCTCAAAAATCTCCCACCTTCCCTTTGTTTCTAAGACCTTGACATTGCTAAAAGGTAGCGGCCCCTGTTGGTCAACATCAATGCTTTTCAAACTAAGGTGACGGAGAGCTTGCTGGAGCCTCTGTTAAAACAGGAGTGCTGGGCCCCAGCCTCAGGGGAGGAGTCAATAATTTGCATTTCTACATGTACATTACCATATGTAAAACAGATAGCTAGTGGGAAACTGCTATGTAACACGGAGCTCAACCTGGTGCTGGGCGACACCCGGGGGCGGGGGTGGGGGGAGGCCCACGAGGGAGGATGTCGTATGGGGGCGACCGACACAACACTGCAAAGCAATTATCCTCCAAATAAAAAAGTCTTAATAAAAGAAACGGAAGTCAGCAAAGGAGAAAAACAGAATTTGAACACGGGAACAAAAAACAGAAGTTTGTGTTTCTAACAAAGTTCCCAGGTAAGGCTGAGGCTGGGAGGTCTCCCTTTGAAAAATGATAGTTACCGAGAATGTTCCACAATTTTAAGATCTGCCTGTTGCCTCATAATCAGACTCAGTTTAAACACACATTGGGGCAGGAAAGTCTTCAGTGATGCGGTGTCTTTCCCAGCACATCCCACCAGGAGGCACGGGATTGCCCTGGTCCCCATTCCTGGCGATGCTCACTTGTTCAAGGTGGTATCCCCCAGGTTTATCCATTAAAGAGGATTACCCAGACCTGGGTTTAGTTTCTCACTTTAAGATGTTAAACTACTGCCTTAGCAAAGGGATTTTAAGAGGATGCGGACAAGCCAGCACTGACCTGTGTACCCAGTATTTATAGTAGAGAGGAAGAATGCCATTGGGCCCCTGGTCCTGAAACGTGTCGATCAGCTTCTCCAGCACGGTCGCCGTTCGGGCGATGAGATAGTCGGCTCTCAAGGGCTGTAGCTCTGCCCCGTGTTCCTTATTGTATTCTGTGATGAGATCGTTGATGCATATGGTAGGGTTGCTGTTCGTCACGTTAAATCCGCAGCCTAGTCAGAAACAAATGATTAACAAGGTGAGGAGTTCAATCTACTGATGACATCACATGTCTTTCTCGACCACCTGGAGAAAAGTTACAGCTTTTATGCTCAACTTGCTGCTTCCTTGTCCTCATTTTGAGTTTTTTCCTTGTCTCTGGCCAGTAGTAGGACTTACATCTCGGAGTCCATCTTCCTTTTTCATCCTTCCCTTACTATCCTCATCAAACCAGAGTCATTCCAAACGTATTACACATTAGTTGGAAAAAAAAAAAAAAAGCACTGGATTCAATTGAGCAGAAAGGGATGAACAGGACAAAACAGAGTTGCTTCTGAAATGATACCTCCTGTGGTCTAGCCAAGAATTGGAGCTCGGCGCTGAACCCGATGTAAAACAGAATCTCTTGTTTCTTTTTCTACTTGAATAACAGAACACATGCTTGAAAATAAAGAATTTTATTCAGGTCTTAAGGAGTAAACTCTGGATTCAGAGACTTCCAACCTCGATCATGGCATAACCCCAAACACATCTTTTAATGCTTTATCCTTGCAAGTCTTTGGTGCTAGGGTTACGCTGTTGGCAGAGGGCCAACCCATGTTCAGTGGCTCTTTCACAGGCCCCTAAACCAAGGCTTCAGGACAGAGTTACCGGCTTATCTCTTTCGTACCTTAACACCGCTGTGCTCTGCCGGGTGGGGCTGAGGGGGTTCGGAAAAGCTGAGACTTAGTTTTCAGCAGGGCCCTGAATCAACCTCAAAGAGGGCTTCAGTAAGAAGTGAAATACTGCAAGAACTAGGCAGTGAGCCCACCATTTTTCCAGGGCCTCTGAGAAGAAAAGTTCCCCAAATACTTGTCTTAGATGGAACAATGGCATTCACAGGAACAGTACTTTTTGGTAAATGTTCTGAGCTGTTTTCGGTATGAAGGGAAGGCTTGTCTGACCCCAGATTATTATTATTATTTTTAAAACATATACTGGCTACTAAAATACAAACCAATGTAAATGACACCTGGGAAAAAACAAACAACTACAAAAGCAGGGAAGAATTTGCAGTTGTTCGTTCGTTTGTGCTTTTATCAACAACATACACAACAGCAAAAGTACCTGTGCCGGTATAAGGCATTCAACTACGCGTATACAGCACCGAAAAAGCTCCCCTGTACCCAGAAAAAGGACGGTCCTGGGAAAAGAGCCACATGGACTGCTGTCAACTTAGGCTGTGTCTTTCTAAGGACCAGCAGGCGCCACTGATCGTGACTTTTTGAATCTTTCCCCAAAGATGCCCTCTGTGCCCCCTGCCCACCTCCCTCGGCCTTAAGACATCCATAAAAGCTACGGATCCTCTCAGAAGAAAGTTTCGTTTCCCCCTCACTGACAGAGAATTCCTCAGCTCCCTGAAGCCATCATTTGTCCCCATTCGGAACCTCTGTTTCCAGCCCAGTTACTCATTTACACATGGGAGACAGAGCTCGGAGGGGAGGAAATAACTTCCCTAGAATAACACCGCCAGTTGGCAGTGGCGCTGGAAACACGCCGTGTCTTCGCTGGCTGGCACTTCCCACACACTGTCACACGCTTTCTGTCCACTGCCGATTTCTGAACCCCACTCCAGTTCCTCTGGGCATTAGGGAGAAGGTGATGCTCGGATGACCACGGACACCTAGGAACTTCTCGAACGGCTTCTGAACCCATCTCCTTGCCTGATGAGGATGTGCTGAGGTGAAACGGGGAATCTTTACCTCACCCTGACCAGTCTGGAGTGTCTTCTGAAGGTCAAAAAGAAGGCAACTTTTCCATGGCCTGGGAAGGTCAGATTAAGAATGCAAGGACACCCATCCTTGAAACTAACTTTTCTTTTCTTATTACCAAGTAACGAAGTGGATATTTTCATCATTTCTAATTCAACGGGAAGCAGGAGTGTAGAGAGGTGTAAGAAAACGCCTGTTTGATGAGGCACCCATGTGGCGGTTTCCACGGCCAGAGGTACAAACCTTCTGAAAGGCTTTCTACCCACCTGGCCTGTTCTGTACACATACTGTGTTCTGTAAGTCAAAGCCCAAAAAAGAAATCCCAGATGATAATCTACTCCCCTCAATGGAGCCATGTGTGAGCCATTTTATTTCTATTCATCTAAAAATTCTGGGGGTAAGGGCTTTAAAAACTTACCAATAAGTATATAAAATGTTTCTCTCATAAGTGTTGAGTTAACCAAAACTCCACCAAGCTTCATGAGGTCACTGTAATAAATATCATTGGGCCACTTCACTCGCAAATTGATATCCTAAAAGGAAAATCTGCGTATTAATCAAGCAGTCTCAAGACACAAAGGGACCGGGAGAGGTGGTCCAACTTAGAAAACATAAAGATGAGCAGAATATTCTAGAAACGGACAGAATAGGGAGTCTCATGCTCTCTTCTTTTTCAGACAGCTGATCACCTCTTTGGAGCAATACTTGGAGTATTAAAGTGCCCCGCAGGGCTAGAGGAAGGAGACCTAAAGAACACAGGAATTTCAGTCTCCTCTCCCTCATCACTGTGTACCGTCATCAGAAACACTCTGAAGACGCCCATCATGGGAATTAAATTGATTATCCCAAGATCAATAACCACAGCACAGGGGACCATCATATCTCAGGGAGGAGGGTGGAGAGGCGGGGGTGAATGCTCTCGGGGCTCTTTTTCCTTAAGGAGCCCCAGCTCCAGAGTGAAGGGCGGCCCTGCACTAACCCAAGTCAGGCAGCAACGTCCTGAGTAGAACAGTATGGAGATACACAGGAGCGATGCATGTTACTGAGTCAGATCACAGCATGTGTGGGTGTGAGAGCTGGACCGTAAAGAAAGCTGAGCCGAAGAATTGATGCTTCTGAACTGTGGTGTTGGAAAAGACTCCTGAGAGTCCCTTGGACTGCAAGGAGATCCAACCAGTCATTCCTAACGGAGATCAGTCCTGAGTGTTCATTGGAAGGACTGATGCTGAAGCTGAAGCTCCAGTACTTTGGCCACTTGATGCGAAGAGCTGACTCACTGGAAAAGACCCTGATGCTGGGAGGGATTGAGAGCAGGAGGAGAAGGGGACAACAGAGGATAAGCTGGTTGGATGGCATCACCAATTCAATGGGCATGAGTTTGGGTAAACTCCAGGAGTTGGTGATGGACAGGGAGGCCTGGCATGCCTACAGACCATGGGGTTGCAAAGAGTCGGACACGACTGAGCGACTGAACTGGACTGACTGACTAGAGGATACTGAGTTTATCAGTCTCCGTGAAGTACCAACAGTCAACCTGGGTAACAGAAATAGAGCTGTCTAGTGGCCTACTGCCTCTCCATCCTGAGGGATGTGGCTTGGGCAAGGCTGCCTGTGCCCTCCGGGGAATGACCTGAGAGCAGACACTACCTTGAACTGGGCCACCTGGAACCCACCTCCTGCCATGACTGTGAAGTTAAGGCACACAGACTGGGTGCCCGAGGTTTGTCTAGGCCCCTTTTCACCAGAAAACACCACGGATAAATAGACTCATCCAGTTTCCAATGTGCTTCAATCAAAAAGAAAGAAAAGGAAAAGAAAGGCATGCCTTTACTAGGACATTGGACACATCTCTCAATAGCACAGAAGGGAAATTCTGGGAAATGAACACATTCCAGCAGGCCCAAAGCAGCTATCATCCTGACGGCGCTTTGAAAACTCTAGGAGCTCTCTGCTGTCAGCTTTACAAACAGCAGGCTGAGGCTCTGCAAACAGCAGCCATTCAGACACACACACGCTACCAACATGCCTAAATGAAGATGCGCATACGTGGCAGGGATGTATCAGTGAGGAGCTGCACATACCTGGTACCCGGGGATGGATCTCACCGCCTCTACGACGGCCAGGGACATCAGATGCTGGACAAACGGAATCCTCTGTCCCAGCGGGGATCTCAGTGGGATGCAGACCAGCAGGGTGGAAAGGGCGCATCCCAAGGGGCTCAGCCAAGCGTTCTTTCCCCGCCCTGGAACACAAGCCACGTCAGGAAGCCGGCCAGCCTGCCCTGTGAGCGGACTGAGACGCACATAATGCCGGGAAATATGTGGAGGGCTCAAAAACACAAATGGAGGATCTGTCCCGCTGGAACAAACCGGGATTGATGAAAATGCTTGGAGATTCTGGGGTTAACTCAACAATAGAGAAGCTCTTTAAAATCTGAAGCTCTGTGGCTGAGCAAGTTTCCGATAATTAGCATAATGTTCTGCCTCATATCATCCATGCTTTGATGATTCAAAGTCTTACACAGTGTCTGGACATCACTCTTGGTTTAATTCTCACCATACGGCAACGCAGGCAGAAACAGAGACAGTGGGGAAACTGGACCGAACCTACACTGATCCAGGAGAGGTCCTGAAAGCCACTTTTTTAGAAGTGATCCCAATTGTGATGGTCTCATAAAAACCATAGAGTTGTACACTTTAAGTGGGGGGACTGGATGGTATATGACTTATAGCTGGCTGTTATTTATTTTTTTTTAAAGGAAGCTGAATTTGAAAAATGATTCCTGATTGAGTTATTTTTCTTAAAAAAGTTGTTGAGGAAGTAAAATAATCAAAATGAGAGGTATAATGTAATTTCTTCCCTGGCTCTTTTTTTTCAAACTACCTTATGGAGCACCACAGCCTTGAATAAAAAATTTTTTTTTTTTCTTTCTTTGAGTTATGTTCAAAAGACATGCTCAGGAGAAAGAAGTGGAAACAGTGGATTTCTCATTTCATTGCTTCTTCTGGGAAAGCCAAGAGCCTCTGAGAGTTAAAGTTGGGGGTCTGCCTGGTACCTGCTGGGGGTAGGGAGAGCAGGGGACAGTGGCCCACGTATGACTCCTGAGCAGGAATAATCTGCTTGCAGCTGGACCCCAGGTGGATCCTGGGAGGGTGTGGGCTCCTGCTTCTGAAGGTCGGCAGGGGGTGGAAGCGCTGGACAGCCCTTTGTCCCTCGGTGGTCACTCTGTGAACAGGCCCTGAGCACCGATCGAGGGCCCCGTCCATGCAAACTCCATGCCAGTCAGGGTGGGGGCTGGCAGATGAGAAACCCCTCCATGTGACACTCGGTCTAGACACGGAAGGCACCTCCCCGAGAACCTTCGGGAAAATAAATGTCTCTCTAACATAGTTATTATTCACACGCGGCAACGCCTAGAATGTGTCAGGAAGAGGAATTTACAAGATGTAGGTAAAAGAATGTGAAAACCATCACAGGCGGATGTCAAGTGGTTTAATAAACATCTTGGTTTGAGGGAACACTTGAATTCTACTGGAGTTCAGTCTTCTAATCAATTTCCCTTCCTCTTCCTCCATTTTAGGGCAATGTAAAAACAAACAACTTCTAACTTGAGTCATCTCAATGATCAGCACGTGCAATCAACTGGCTCTCTGGCCACGAGAGTCACAGATTTTAGAAAACAAAAACAACAGAAACAGTAACGAAAGGTGACTGACCTTTGCCCTGCGTCTGGCGGACTGCAATGGCTATTAAACCCATTTCCTGCGGCATCTCAAACATCAACCTGCAAACGATGGGAAAGACCGGTCAGCCAGAACTGGGACAGGACATGGGAACCTGCGGCTCAAGGTGGGGGACGCTGTTTGCTTTCATTCGCGAACGCGTTAGTAAGGAAGGGCCATCTTCAGGTTTCGAGGGATACTGAGCCCGTTCCCAGCTTCTGGAGTGAGAATGATGGAAAAGGGATGCAGGAAATTTACTAAACCTAAATTTAGTAAACACCATTTACTAAAAAAAAAAAGGTGGATTGGGAGTTGGGGCACGTGTACCTGCCCAAGCTATCACTCAGTTTATTCAAGACATTGTTAGGTTATATTTCTTTGGAATATCCTATCAAATTCCTCCCTCCCCCGCTGAGGTGGTGTCCCCTTCTGCGAGTGACAACTAGCAATTCCTGACATTTGTTTCTACTTACGGCGCGTTTCTGTCTGCACACTGGAACATAATCATAACAGAAGTTTCTGATTATTCAGAAAACTAATATGGTGGCAATAAAGCCGTTTAAAAGACACACTATCCCCCGAGAACTAATTATGTTTTAACTGTAGTAAATAAATCTACACCTTCTGAGAACTCAGAAGAACCTTGGATCCTTTTAGGCTTGAGTTCTGCTTTTTAAAATGGTTTTTATTTAAAAGAATACAAACTTCCCTTTGGGGGAAGGGTAGAAATGTGCACTGTATCTCCAGCAAAAGAGTCAATATAAACTTTTTTCCCCCCCAAGAAAAGGGGAAAAAAAACCCACAAAAACCCTCACTCTGAGAATTTCCTCCCCAGCTCCATTCTATGAATTCAGCTCACACAGGGAAGGCTTTCCTCTGCATTCCCAGCAAATGAGCAGGCATAGCTCTCGATGCGCACTAAGTCGCTTCAGTCCTGTCTGCCTCTTTGCGACCCCGTGGACTGTAGCCCGCCAGGCTCCTCTGTCCCTGGGACTCTCCAGGCAAGAATCCTGGAGTGGGTAGCCGTGCCCTCCTCCAGGGGATCTTCCCAACCCAGGGATCGAACCTGTTGTCCCTTCCGTCTTGCACTGGCAGGCGGGTTCTTTGCCACTAGTGCTACCTGGGAAGCCCCCTAGCTCTCAGTAGGACTTATTAAACAAAGTAAAACATCAGACCTGTCGCTGCAGCCGCCAGGATGTCTCTGAAATACTTTCTGGGGGTTGAGGGGAGCAGCAAGGGCAGGGGTGATGGCGACGTGGTACTCTTCCGAGGGTGGGCTCCAGAGCATCCCTGCGCTAAGAGGGACCACGCTCGGAAAGAGCTTCCTCCTCTCTGTCAGGCTCGGGGAACGGAGCGGAGCGTTAGACACAGGGAGGGAAGGAAAACCCTTAAAGGCCTAAACACCCAGAGCGCCCGGCGCGGTGAGGGGGAGCCCTTGGCTGGCTGAGAAGAGCCCGGCCACCCGGGACAGGGGCCGGGCCGAGCCGACAGGCACAGGGCTTGCCAGCGAGCAGGCAGCCCCCTTGTCTGGGTGCCAAGCCCACTTCCATCTTGCATGAAATACAGCTCCAGAGGTATTTCTCTTGGACACCATGAATAACCCATTGAGATCGGCTCCGCTTATATGCTGCTGGGCTCCAAGAATAAAGCGTCCTTTTCTTGCGTGGAAAATTCGAAGAAGGAAGCTTTGTCCACGCAGGGAGATAACATTGTCTTCTCTGGCTCAGCAGAGAGACCCAGCCACCTTCATCTGGGCTCCGAAGCCTGCCGGGCTCTGGGGTGGAGGTGGGGGGGAGCACCTAACGAAGTTTTCTATGCAAAGGGGATTGGGGGGAGCAGTGATTTTGCACATATGAGCAGATTGCAAAGGCTCTTTCCATCTCGGATGTTCTGTAAATAAACAGGTAGATGGAAGCCTGTCATGTCTAGAGCCAGCCACGGTGATGGTGGAATTAGGCGTGGGGAGGTGGGAAGGTTCAGAAACCAAACATAGGCTTCCAGAACAAAGAAAAATGATGAAGGGAACATAGGCACTAAACTTGCTGGAAGCTTGGCAGCAGTGAACAGGGCGTATTGATGAGAAGACTGAGCTTGGGAAGCTGAAGGCCAAGAGGAAATTCTGCGAGGACGGAAACAATGAAGTGGGGGGGGGGGGGGGGGATGGGTACTGCTTAGTCTGAGCCAGGTGAAGGTCGTCAGGTTTGTTTGTGCGACCTGAGACAGCTCTGGGGGCCAAACCACATGGCTCATGGTCCACAAAGAAGCATTTATGAACTTTGGCAAAATGGAAAATTTGCATCTCCGAAGGTGGAGTCACTAGGTTGCTTTAGCAGAAAGGAGACACCCTAAATGCATTTCTAACCCGAGCTGATGTCGTTCTGACAAAAGGAAATAGAAGAAAATGAGGGAAGGGGAGAGGGGAGGGGAGGAGGTTACATAACTACCTCCCCACCTCTGTGGTTTTTTTCTTTGTTGGAAAAGGCTGTTTAATAAACAGTTCCTGTGATCAGCAGCCAGGGGCAGGCACTGGGTACCACCGGGACACGGGAGGAGACTGCTCTGTTTTGGCACACTTCCCTTCTAGCTCAGCGGTAAAGAATCCACCTGCCAATTCAGAAGACACAGGTTTGATCCCCGGGGCAGGAAGATCCCCGCGAGAAGAACATGGCAACCCACTCCAGTATGCTTGCCTAGGAGATCCCATGGGCAGAAGAGCCCGGTTGTTACCCTCCACGGGGTCACCAAAGAGTTGGACACAACTTGGGGAGCGTCCAACTGCTTCGGGCTGAGATACGTGGAGCCCCAAGGCTCACCTGGCACCAGCACAGGGCCCCGACCGCCTTGTTACTAAGGACATCGCAGCTCCCACTGCATGCTCTGCCAGCCAGAGCACCCTGAGTCTCACGTGGCCATGGGAATTAAGTTTCAATGATTAAAACTAACCGAGAAGACAGACCAGCATTAGCTAGTGAAAATTCTGAGTGAACAGAAGTTTACATTCGGAGTCAAGTCAATCCACTCTGAGGACTGAATCTAAAGAAAGAGTCCACACTCACCACAGCGCTATAGAAGTGAAAATTTGGAAAAAGACATAAGAGTTCACTAGGGAAACGAGGCTGGTGGAATAATCTGCAGTCATCATAAATGATCATTATGAAGATTATATAACAACACAGAAGAAATGCTTGCAATACAATTTTCCATTTTAAAAAACAGGATGTGAAACCTACATATACTTTTAGCCCAACTTTGTAAAATTCACAGAAAATCAAGGGAGGGAGATTTGACAAAACAAAAATTGTGGCTATATTAGGAAGATTTTATTTGTTAAGCTTTGTTTAAGTTGACTGCTCATCTGTTTTTTTAAAAAATTATTTTTAATTGGAGGATAATTGCTTTACATTTGCTGTTGGTTTCTGCCATACAAGAACATGAATCAGCCACAGGCACATACCTGTCCCCTCCCTCCGGAACCTCCCTCCCACCCCATACCACCCCCCTAAGTTGTCACCGAGCACCAGGCTGAGCTCCCTGCATTACACACAACTTCCCACAAGCTATCTGTTTTCCATATGGTAACGTATATATATATCAACGCTCCCTTCTCGGCTCCTCCCACCCTCTCCTTCCCCACAGTGTCCACAAGTCTCCTCTGTGTCCCAGTCTCTATTCCTGCCCTGCAAATAGGTTCATCAGTACCATTTTTCTAGATTCCATATATACATGTTAATATATGACATTTGTTTTTCTTATTCCACCTCAGTAGAACCGACTCAAATTCGTTCCTTTTTATGGCCGAGTAACATTCCATTTTATACACACACACACACACACACACACCCCCCACAACTTCTTAATCCATTGATGACTGCTTGTATTTAGTTTGAAAATTATTTTGAAAAATTTGGGGGAAAGAAGCATGGTTTTTATATTTAGATATAATATTTGTTGGCATCCCACTCCAGTATTCTTGCCTGGAGATCCCATAGACAGAGGAGCCCCGAGGGCTACTGTCCACTGGGTCGCAAAGAGTCAGACATAACTGAAGTGACTTAGTACACATGCATAATATTTGTAAATATGTCAACGAATAGGAGTAAAAGACCTGCTTTAAAAATAAGATAATAACAGTCACCTGTAGCATCCATTTTATTATAACCAATGAACAAGACCTTATTTAATTTGTAACTAATGAGCAGAAATTCTTAAAACCAGTATGTTCACATGCAATGGAAGCCTTAAAATTTTTATATTTTCTCACCCAGTGACTATATCCCTAAGATTGGATTCCATGGGGTATTCAGACAGGGAAACAATAATTAAGGGACACAGCTATTTCATCACAGCATTGCACAGTGAAAAAAAATCATTAACAGTACAAACAGTCCAGAAGAGAGGAAAGAAAAGAAATCATAGTATCCCCAACATGAAAAAATATCATAAAGCCATCAGTGATACAGGCAAATGTCCGCTGAACACCATTAGAAGATTTAAAGAGTGTGGAAATTCCAATATGCAGCATGATTGCACAGGTGCTTTAAAATACACTTTTAAAAATTATTAGGAAATATACCAAAATATTAGCTGTGGTTACTTTTAAGTTATGAGTGTAGTTACTGGAAAAACACAGGAAAGTACAAAGCAGAAAAGTCATCCAAAGAAGTCCTTCTTAGAAACATATATTCTTCTATACTTTTCCTCTTAAAAAATACAACTTACACACACATACACACACACAATATATTATACAAAGTATATTCTGATGACTGGAAGGATTGCTTATTTTGGATCTTCTTTCTTTCTTTCTTTCTTTTTGGCTGCACCAACCAGGGAACTCATGCCCCCTGCAGTGAAAGAACACAGTTTTAACCAATGGACTACTAGGGAAGTCCCCAAACTCTTAAAAATGAAATAGATGTTTAGTTATGGACATTTTTATTTTGTTGACAATAAAAACAAAAAAGGCATTAAAAACAACATCATGATATGATCCCACCTATGTAAGCTATGTATTCCTATGTGCATTCATAGACAAATACAGGACACCCATTAACAGTGGCTG